GACACAGTAATTTGCATTTTTCTCAAAAACTATAGAAGCTGAAAAGTTCGTTTTTGCGCCATTCGACGCGGCTCTTCTTACTCTATTTTGATTATAAAAACCAAGATTTTTGGTTAAAAGCTCTTTATAAACTAACATCATCAGTATATGACTGTATAGATCATTGTGAAAATTTCTTACAATTGCTTACAAGTACAAATATAACAATGAGTTTGAAAAATGTCATCTATTCCAACAAAAAATTCAAGCATTAGGTCACATAATATCTGGTGTAGGATTGTCTATGTGTGCAGAGAAAGTCAAAGCGGTAGTAGCATGGAGAATTCTTAAAAATGTAAAAGAAATTCAACAATGTTTAGGTCTCGCCACGTATTACAAAAAATGTATTAGTAATTTCTCTATCATTGCTCGTCCATTAACACAGCTTCCGCGTAAAGATAGAACATTTCAATGGATAGAAGTTGAAAATCTGGATCTTTTGCATCACTGAAGACAGCCTTAACATCACCACCAATATTGGCTCAGTTTCGTTGTTTGCGCCGTTCCCACGATAAGTCGCGCGATTATTGAAAGCGCGTCGGAAAAGTGCTTTTCCGACGTTTTGGGGTTTATTCTATGCCATTAAGCGCTAATGAGAGTGTTACAATGGACCGTAAGAACGATTTTTACTAAAAGCGTCGAAGAATATTGAAACAAAACAGGTATCCGCCAACCTTTCGCAAACGCTTTTTCATATTATTTGTAGTTTAAAAATGAAAATAACATCTTATAAATCTGTGCCTTTCAAGTGTGACTTTTTTCCATATGTTCATACAGATGCGTCTTGAAATTTTCTACAGAAACATAATAGTGAGTGTTTTCTTATAAAGTGTAGAAGTGGCCGGTAACACGAAAAACACTAAACAGCTTTGAGATAGTCAACTTTCTGAAGTATTTTCAGCGTATTCAGACTTCTTTTTCAAACACTTACACAGTTGATAAGATACACTAGGCCTGTAGCAACTAATGTAAATGTTAAAACTTTGGTCAAAGAAGTTACATTTTACATTTGCAATCTTTCTTTTATCAGCTGCCCCAGAACAGAATTCTGTTCTGAGGCAGCTGATAAAAGAAAGATTGCAAATTTAAAATGTAACTTCTTTGACCAAAGTTCTAACATTTACATTTGTTGTTACAAGCCTACTAGAATAAGTTTTCTGATGTTGTAAACATAATTGTCATAAATATTAGTTTTAATTTGTTATCTAATGGAGATAATAAATTAAAAAATAAATAAACACATATCGTGTACTTCTCTAGATAAACTGTCTCAACTAAAGAAACGTGTTCAAAAAATTAAACAAAGAGAATCGTCATCAAAACATGAAATGGAATGTGTAACATTAGTCATGGATCCTATTAAAAAATGATTATGTGAATTTTTAAAAAAAACATGATACAACCCACTGTATAAACCATATATCAGCAAGAGAAAGAATAAGATTGGAGAAAAAGGAAGGATCTGACGACAAAGAAAATGTATACAAAGCTTCTCTTTTTTTTATTAACATAATTTCCGGTACAATGTCAATAACCCCGGAATATGATCATTTAAATACATTTTCGAATAAATATTCTTTAGCACTATGTAAAAATTTGTATAAATCGTCTGGTTTAATATCTTCACGAAAATCTTCTAATTTTTTAAATATATCTGCAATTCTTGAATAATGTTGTACCAAATAATTATCCCACCATTGAATAACTCTACTTATATAGAATTCATTAACATAAGCAGCTAATGTACGTTTGTTCATTTCATCACATTGATCTAATAGAAAACACTTGACAAGACTCATTATATCATCGATATACGAACATTTAATTAAAACTAGATTTTCATCAGGATTTTCTGCATTAACTAATCCGGTTAAAACAAATTTTGATGCATTTGAAATTGTTCCAGAGTATTGACACTTTTCTCCTGTAACTGCAGATGACATCCAATCGATAAGATAATATTCATTCGATTGACTGAAAACAAAATAAATAAATTTTACTACTTTAAGAGAGAAAACAAGAGATAGCAGTGGCTCATAAACGAATGCAATCTGCTGACTGTGATAACACTAATAAAGACATACAATGCCACGGGTTGTTATGGAACATGATCTCTACATCTATCACCGTCGTTTCTTCACGGAATCTTACATGTCTAGTTACTCGATCGCCACTTTTCAAAAAAGTTTTAGTATTGCATTATCGAATAAAGTAGAGTAGAGCCATGCAGAGTAACTCTAGGAGCCATTGCCGTAAGCCACGACAAGTGATGCTCAACGACCATGTCAGATTTTTATTTAAGTAGTCTCAGCGTGTAGAGCATGTTCGAAAACCTATATATCCAAATTTTTAGCCTTCCCAAACTTTTTGTTCCGTAGATATGAAATTTTTTCGAGTCGAGTAAAGTTCGAGAAGTTATGCGCGTGAAAAACGTAAATTTCGTTTTCTCGTGAACAATACGAGATGGAACCGCGACTTTTTCAGTGTAGATAGTACTCGATGTCTACCATATAATGACATACAAATATTACCTATATCTCTCACCCCACACATTCCAGCACGGCCGAAACGGAGCTTTATGGAGCACTTTTGTGAGAGATCGATCTCGTTATTATGAACTTACGTTGAAGTCCGACTACTTGCAGTAGATAGCACTCTCAGTGTACTATCTGGAATCACTATCAAGAGTTTGGGATACGCAAATTTGTTACAGAAATTTTTGCGACCGAAGTCGAAGAAAACGGGTCGTCGTAAACATTCACTCTGAATGTCTTCCTGTCTTAATTAAAAAACTATATATTTTTCAAAAGAATACCATTAGATAGCCCGTGAAATTCTCTACAAACTAAGCTGGTCAGAATATCTAGACAGGTGCGTCCAGTCATCAAAGATATGTAAAAGAAGCGTTTGGGTGTTACATATGCAGTACAGTGTGTAATAATCATAAGAACTCCTTTGTTTTTGACTTTTCAGTAAAAGCTGGAACCAATCTGAATACTGTTTTGAATAGCCCGAAGATTTTTCTATCAGATGAGGCGCATATCGCCATTTTATGAGAAAACTTGAAAATAGGGTTTCTGGAAAACCTGGAGACTAGAAAACCAAGTCTTTGGTTTTTCGTCAGAAAATTTTGCAAACGATATAGTATGATAAAGCAAAGGATTCCGAGCAAAATAAGATATATCCCGGCTCTCTATAACACTTTTTCACTCAACCACAGTCCATTCAAGAACAAAACATACGTACAATGGACACATCGACAATAGTTATGGATCAAGCTAGTCTGTTTTTTCAATTTTCTGATGCCTATCCTTCAGTTGATCCTGATATTCTTCAAAAACTTGATATATTTAGACAAAATTTAACTGATGGACAAACGAAAATTGCTCATGGTAATATTGAACAGTGTATTCTGTCTCGTTGATCTATTTGGTCGAAGTACAAAAAAGAATTATTATAATATAACAAAAGAGTTAATTTTTTATTACCATGAGCAATTTTCGTTTGTCCATCAGTTAAATTTTGTCTAAATGAAACCATTGTTTGGGATGGTTCTTGTCGATCTCTGCTGATCTCTCTGTCAGTGTTGCTCGATTCGACGTGATTGTTTTTTTTTCTCTTGCGTTCGAAGAGAGAGTGTCTCATGCTCACCCTCAGAGTGATGATGAACTGATTGTCTCTTGGCACAAGCTCGACAGATTCGTGAGAGTGTTTCCGACGAACGACTGGAACAAACTTGGATGCCGATAAAACGAATCTGGCTTGGACACGAGGAAAAGCTCGAGAGAAAATCATCGACCTTCATCCAATGTTACAGATCATTTCGATGACACCGAAGGATGAATCGCGTCTTCTCCGTGTCCATCGTCTGTCTCTCCCAAGGGGGCAAAAACTGATTTCTAGTGCCAGATATTCTCAGAAATCCTCAGAACTCAATAGAAATCCTCAGAAATCGATAAATATCTTCGGTCATGGAAGATCAATGAATGGTTCTCCCTCATGACTTCACATTGAATTTCGAGCAATAACATATACAGATGATTGCCTTCTGTCAAGAATCTGCTAGATACAAACAAATCATCGCACGAGTCTCCTACACCAGATATTATGTGACCTAATGCTTGAATTTTTTGTTGGAATAGATGACATTTTTCAAACTCATTGTTATATTTGTACTTGTAAGCAATTGTAAGAA